AAAAGTGAACAGAGTTACTTGTATTTTGTGAAAAAGTGGAAATATATTTTTTAATTTTACTATTTACGGTGACGTAATCACTTTAATAATTTGACATATATATATATATATATCCTCCACACCGCATCATTCGCTGCATGCAGGAGATGTTTTAGCCCTTGGCGTTCGTCTGACAAGGGTTTCTCAGCTCGCAGTAGTGGCGTAACAGCGCACAGCTTGGTTTTTCATTTAACTAACGTCGCCATGTAACAGCACATATATATATATATATATATATATATATATAACGCTATGTCTGCTACACGCGTCTGCCTGCCATGCTCGAGGCAAGCCGTGAAGTTGCGTAAGGTGGAGCATCTCGCAGCGATCGAAGGTAATTTGCTTGTCAACAATTCCATTAGTGTACTCCCGTTGTCCAATTACCCGAGGAAGGATAACGGCAATGCTGTTTTAAATTCGATATTAACATATCGCGCGCGGCCCTGAGAGTATGGTTTAGACGGGGGATAGCATAGACCGCTGCACGGCGCCGGTAACACCTTTTAAGTAAGAATCAAATTCTAATTATCGCCGCGCTATTTATGGAATTTTAATACTCGAATTTATCCTAAGGTCTACTATTCCCGAGTAACATGGATCATCCTGATATCTTGATCAGCAGTTTTGCAGGATGTTATTAATCATTTCTGTCACAATCCGAAAAACTGTCGAGTCACACATAGACTTCTGTGATTCTGTAAAAGATTTTCGGACGCCGATTTTTATTTGATACGGCAAATATTTAAAAACCCGAACGTGCGAATGTAAATACATTATTTACGTACACATGTCCGCGCCCAACGTACGCACATCACACTTTGTGTCTTGCTTCTGTGCATATGATCGTGACGAATCTGCGAAGAACAATGAGCAAAAATCGTCAGTATACATTTTAGCTATATCTCATAGCACCTATAACAGACATATCTAAAATACCAAAGCGATATCTCTCTCTCTCTCTCTCTCTCTCTCTCTCTCTCTCTCTCTCTCTCTCTCTCTCTCTCTCTCTCTCTCTCTCTCTCTCTCTCTTTCATCTATATCTCTCTCTCTCGCTCTATCTCTTTCTCTTTCTCTCTCCCCTCTCTATCCCTCTCTCGCTTTCTCTCGCTCTCTCTCTCTCCCTCTCTCTCTCTCTCTCTCGCTCTCGCTCTCGCTCTCGCTCTCG